CTGTTGTTTGGAGTAAAATAAATCACCCAAACTGTAACTGGACAGATATATGGAACTGAGGTGGGTTAAGGAACTGGAGCATTTGTTCAAAGAGATGCAAAAAGAGCTGACTTGGAGAAAAGAAAGCTCAAAGAATATTGTATCAATATCTATGACTACTTGATGGGAGAAAGAAGGAAAGAGGACAGAGGCAGACTTTCTTCAGTGGTTTCCAGTGACAAGAGGCAATGGGCACAAATTGAAATATAGGAATTTGTGTTTCAACAAAAAAAAAAAAAAAAAAAAAGCTTTTGTTGTTGATGTTGTTTGGTTTGCATGTTTTAGTTTGTTTACTCTGACAGTGGTCAAATACTAGAAAAGGTTGCCCAGAGAGGCCATGGAGGTTCTCTTCTTGGAGGTGTTGAAAGTGGACTGGACTCAGTCCTTGGCTGACTCATCTTTTTGTAGTGGAATTGAAAATCATCTAAATTTCCAGCATTGTCTCAGACATTCTGTGGCTGTCTGTATATCTGTGCATCTTCTCTAGCTAGGAATGTGTTCCTGCTTAAATGCTTGAGGTGGTCTAAAGGGGGCAGTTGGAGGCATACGGTGGATTGTCATGTTATAAGATGGCTGATAGTTTGTGTGCTGAGGAAACTTCTCATTTGCCTCTTTGCAGGTTGTTGACAAAGATTCAGAAGAAGCCAAGATTATCAAACAATATGTGAAAAACACTCATGCGGCTACGCACAACGCATATGACCTCAAAGTTGTGGATGTAAGCTGGGCAGTAATGAGGTTTATCTTTGGGAAGATGGACTCTCTTTTGACTTGCTTGTTTGCAATTGCCTTATTTTTGAGTAACTTACCCATTTTCCTCTGTTGAAGGGGTGATTTGCTAGAATGTTTTCTTTTAATTAGAATAGCAAAAGTCTAGGCAGAGATGAATCTAATGAGGTGTTTTTGCTTTGGTGTTTTTGTTTTAATTTGCCTCAAAGGGAAGGTGGAGGAGTAATCATCTGAAATTGAGCCTTAGTTGATTGAATGATTTTTTTCAGAAAAATAGAGCCATGAAAATGCAGAAGGTGGAGAAGTAATCAACAAGTACTGTGTGATTGCTCTTTTTTGCTAGCCTGACACAGCCAATTACAAACACTAAAACCCATCCCAATCATTTTCCCTAGCAGACCAATGTACATTGCAGATCGGGTGATTTTTTTTTTCCTCCCCTCTGATGAGTTGCATGAAAGTAATGGTTTATTTGTGTGGTTATTCTTTTCCTCCTATCCTCTTATGAACTGAAGATCTTCAGGATTGAGCGTGAGGGGGAGAGCCAGCGTTACAAGCCCTTCAGGCAGCTCCACAACCGCCAGCTGCTGTGGCACGGCTCCCGCACCACCAACTTCGCTGGGATACTCTCGCAGGGTCTGCGGATAGCTCCTCCTGAAGCTCCTGTGGTAGGTGAAATAGCTTCTCTGGCTGCCTACATCCCTGTGCCACAGGCAGGGACAACCTAAAGAAGGGAATTTTTGTGTGGGGAGCCCCCTGTGTTATCTGCCACCATTTAGACAACATCATGTCCCACGAGTGGGTTGCGCATTGGTGTCCACAAGAGCTTGAGTTGCAGCTTTGCTCTCCTGGGAGCCCAGCCAGGTGGATTCAGTGCTGCCTTTGTGTTATTTTATTGCCCCAGTCTTATTTATTTATTTATTTATTTATTTATTTATTTATTTATTTATTTCCTTCTTGCAGACCGGCTACATGTTTGGGAAGGGCATCTATTTTGCAGACATGGTATCCAAGAGTGCAAACTACTGTCACACATCTCAAGCTGATCCCATAGGTTTAGTACTACTGGGAGAAGTCGCCCTTGGAAATATGTACGTAACTTATAAAGAGTATTTGCCAAATGTGCTTAATGCATCCTCTTGGAAGGTGATGCTAAGATTGCAAGCCTTCTCTTCAGTGTGAAGAAGAAGCATGTGTTTTTTCTTCAGAAACAAGATCTGGTTTTTCTTAAAATAAGAGCTATTGTTGCAGGTCTAGCTGTATCTTGTAAAAAAATGCTAACATCATTAAAATTAGTAACCAAGACAAAAAGAGTTTGAGTTCCAGAAGACTAGAATTTAGATTAACTTTACATTAATTCATCATAAACTAAAGCCTGAAAAATTTGTGGGTGTTTTTTTCACTAAGGTAGTTTAAGATGAATGTAAAGTGCGATTGTGTGTTCTTTGTGCTGTCCAGGTATGAACTAAAGAATGCTTCCCACATCACAAAATTGCCCAAGGGAAAACACAGTGTCAAAGGTAAGCATTAGTAGTTGTCATTAGTAATCTGTAATTGATGGCAGACTTAGTTGTGGCACTCTGCTAAGCGAAGAGAGCTATAGTCACTTCTTGCCTGTACATCCTTTAAGAAGTTGCATGATGTTGCCCTTTAGTTGCATCAGGATGTGTATGGGGTGCTTTAGATGCAAGTTAATAGACTCAAGAGTATTAACAGCTGAAGGTGCTGAAGTTCAGGAGGAAACTTCTATTTGATGTTACACTGGAGAAAATATAAAGTACATTCTCCAACTTCTTGGTCACTTTCATCGTAACAATGATGTTTATTTTTGAAGAGAGATGACTAGATCAGAAGAGTAATTGTTTAGCTTTCAAAGTGGCTTAGAAGCTTGGACAGAAGGGAAAAGCTAGGAATAAAAGTTCAGATGGAACAACTGCTTTCATTACACTTCTATCTGCAAAAAGTGTCATATATTGAAAAAGAAGATGAGAGAAAAGACTTGGCTGTCTAACTCAAGCAAAATAAATGATAATTATCACTGTCCTCTGTACCAAGATGGGAGATTGAAGAAAAGTATCTTCAGTAATGAGTGGCTTATCTTAAACTATTCATTTTGAGAGGCTTAAAAAATAGGCTGCCTACAAGAGAATAAAAAGTGATTTTGCACCTTTTTCTATACATACTACTCATGTTCTTATGGATATAAAATCAGATTTATATTGAAAATTTTAATGAGAATAAGAATTTGTTTGTTGTACTTGTCTGAAAATGCTGTGATGTGCATGTTTACATTAATGGAGTTAGGATATGAGAGCTACAAATCTGTTCTGGTTTACCTTTGATCATACAGATTAGACAATTAACAGTTGAAAGAATAAAATTCTCATTTTTAATGTAGCAGAGTACAACTGCCATAAATATGGTGATGCTGAATTGAATAAACAAACTGTATTTTTCATGTTCTGTTGAAGATACTTCTACACTTGATTTGAACGTATATGTGAAGTAGTATTTGGCTGGCTGGATCATTTTCTTTTTGTGCAAAGTCTGTGTTTGCTTCCTAGATTTGTAACTAATGTTGTTTTCCCTTTCTAGGCTTGGGCAAAACTGCGCCTGATCCCACAGCCACGACCACCCTTGGTGGTGTGGAGGTTCCCTTAGGGAATGGGATCTCCACAGGAATTAATGATACCTGTCTTCTGTATAATGAGTATCCTTTGCTGTTATGTTGGCTGCACATAGTGTTTGAGTGTTGCTGCATTTGCAGGACCTCACTAAGGCCAATTAGGAGTTTCGCCTCACTGTGTTGTGTTTTGTTTAGATCTGCTTTGGGGAGTATTTGCAGACAAACTCTTCTGCAAGGGGGATGATTTTACAGTTGCTGCTTGAATTGTCATTTTGCAAAAAAAGGAAGCGATGCACATACCAATAGCTGTTCCCCAACAGGAACAAAAGTTATTGGAGTGGTCAGGCAAAACTGCCCTGTAGCGTCTTGCCCAGAGATGTGCCAGGACAAGGGGAGGGGAATGCAGCCTGTGGTTTCTCATCACTCCAGTCTGGTTTCTCCCTCATGGTGCTGTGGTAGGCCAGCTTGGCCAGGAGGAGGTGGGAGAGCCAACTCTGTGCTCTTGCGCTCTCTCAGCACATCTTTCATGTTCCCCCGACCTCAGCAAGTGTTGAGGTATGCCCCAAATGCCCAGCAGAGATGCAGCCATTAAGTCTCTTTCTAGGCAGAAGTGCCTCCAAATCAATTAGTGCTTTAAATCCACAAGACGTCGTAAAAATGCAAGTAAGTGATGTCTAAGGTCCAGCTTGCTCTCTTCGCTGCCAGTGAAACAGGTAACCCAGTAATGCAATCTTTGGGTTTCTAGAAACTGCCTTTGGCCTTGCTGAATTGTTTTCCTCCTACAAGGAATCTGGGCAACACAACTCATGGCAATACTGATTTTATCTTGAGTTTACCTAAATACACCATTGTCAGATGATGAGCTATAATACAGCTGATATTGGCTAGTTGAGGTAACATGATGTGTGTTTATTTTGTTTTAAACTTTGGGATTAGAGATAAGTGTGAGGCCCAAAGCATTGTGAAACAAATAGATGAGCTGGGACTGTCTCTGGAAAAATAAGAATGTGCAAACACTGACAATCATTGTAGAGCTCTTCTCTGTGGTTGCAGTTTGGTTTTTTTAGTGGGAAATTAAGCATTAATGACTCCGTGCTGGAAGGTGCTGGAAGGTAGCAATAGAACTGCAATTACAGTTGTGAATGCTGGGTCTGAATCTGTAGCTCTCATTTAAGCTATATGACTCTCCTGCCTTGATATCAAGAGAGATGTGTGTTACTCTAGCAAAAACTAATTTTCAGGAGCTACAGAATTCCCTTCTGTATCTAAGTCATTTCACCTGCCTGTCACTCAGGATTCCTGCTGCACTATTCTCCACAGAACTTAATTGCTTGTTCCTAACTATTGTATAAAACATTTTCAGATTCATAGAAAAGACAGATTTAAAGCTTTGTGGTTTGAGCTCTTAGAATTGGTTAATCACCCAGGCATCTGTATGGTAACTTAAGTTCAAGGTTCACTGTGATTTGAGGTGTATTAATATCAACTGCTGTAATTATTCCTTAACATTCTTCCCAGATATATTGTGTATGATGTTGCTCAGGTGAATCTGAAGTACCTGTTGAAACTGAAATTCAACTATAAGACATCACTCTGGTGAACAGTATTTAGAAGCCCTGTTAGAGTTATACTGTAGTTACACTATAGCGTTGACTTCTGACATGCTTATGCATTGACTTCTCTTACCAAGATATCAAGAGCTAAACTGCAGAAGAAATTACTAAATCCTATTTAGTACAACACTTAGTGAAAGTTTTATATAAAAAGTGTGGCAACACATAGGCCTGAATTCTGATGAGAAGAAGTACCTGGTTTTGTTTTATACCACTTCTGATTCTGGTGCTTTAAGTGTTTCTTTTAATTGCCCAAACTGACAAGAAAGAAAAAATTAAATTATTCTGGTGTTCTTAGCCAAACAGAGATGGGCAAGAGCAGGAGAAGGAAGGAACTTGAGCATGTTTGTGGTAATTGCTCTGTTAAGGTTCCCCCTTGTTTAAGATACTCCTCAGTTTTCACTTGACTAAATGATAAATGTGCATTTATTTTGAGGTAAAAAAATAAAAACTAATTTCATACTAACAGTTTTATGTTTCAAAACTTCCAAATTGTTTTGGTTTCAAGTCATAATTTAAATGTATTTGGTAGAATGTTCTTAAACATGGTATCTCTCTTGAGGATCAAATGCCAAATATTGAAATCTGTAGTCATGTTTCAGGAAGTTACGGTGAAATTAAAATTTGGACTTTCCACTGAGACTTCATCTGTCAGCAGTTGGTGTGGTAAACATGGAAAATGAGCTTGTGGCTGTTTGAATTTAGTATTAGCCCAAATAAACCTCCTTTAAATACCTACCTTCAACATGATGTAAGTTGGTTGTTACAGACTCACGTCCTAACAAAGCTGTAAGTTGAGTTTGGGCTCAAGCTTCATTCATCAAGACCTGGAGGTCTGTTGCTGCGCTGTTGGTGGTCTTGAAATGCCTGTCTCAAAAGAGCAATACAAACTGATTATTTCAATTTTTCATGATATTTGTTACTTCTCACTTTTAGTCATTTAGCAATATGGGAGCACTTTAACCATAGAGCATCATCAGATCATTCTCTTCAAAAATTCCTGATTTCTCTGAGGCATTAGGGAAAGTAATGGCTAATTGCCAAGAAGGGGACAGTTCAAGCTATTCTGACAGTTGTGGCTTCAGTCTTTAGTAACCTGTATTGGAACAGCAGACCTGTTTCCTAAAATGTTGTGTCCCAGGGCCTTTTGTAAAAGGAACTAAAGCCAAAGTCGTTGCTAATAATGCAGGTCTTCCCAGGATTTCTGAATGACAAGAGGATGAAGAGTGATAAATGAAAAATGAAGCTGTTTTCCGGGTGAGAAGGAAATGTAGAAGGACTGGGTAAGTTGTATGGCTTGTAGACAGCTGAACAGAAAAAATTGATTGAGGTTGGTGATAATGGATTCTGAGGGGAAGTGAGGAGAGTAGTCTGTCTTCTGCCTCTTAAGTAGCTTAACCAGTGGCTAATCGCTGTTTTGCTTCCAAAAATCCCTTTTGGTAAGTCACTTAAGTATGATGTTGTCAGTCTCTGAAAGAGAACATGAGAACTTGTTCAATTTAGTTAGAAGATAGATGATTTTTCACCCTCTAAATGAGCAGTTTACAGTTCAGTTTGGGACCAGGAATTGAAGGCAGCTGCTCTCTCTGTCACCCGTACTAGAGGTGGCTGAAAGTTCCCTGTTGTTCCAATCCAAGCAGCACAAGGAGTGCTTTGTGCTGTGTATGTAGTGCTCAGTTATAATTGCAGCACAAGTAGGTGCATCCCAAACTGTCCCTAACCTCACAAATACAACAAGAAAAGCTACAGGACTTTCTGAAGAGGCAGCAGGTACCCTTTGGGGACTGCAGGAGAGCCCTGTCACTGTCCTGCAGTGAAATCTGATGTCAGCCCAGGCGCTGCTTGTGCTGCCAGCTTGTCCGAGCAGAGCGGATCCGCTCTCCTGGGGGCGGGCGCTGGTGCCTCTGGACCCGGCGGATGAAGGGCCTCTCCCCAGGGCCAGGCTGGGAGGAGCAGCGTGTGCCACTCACTGAAAGCACTGCTTTGGCAGTGTGAGCACAGAGCAGAGCTGCGTGAATAGGCAGCCCCATTTCTGTCAAAAGCACTTGAAAGGAACGACTTCTCAAGACATTATGTCCCATGACATCCTGTGCTTTTTTCAGGGGAAACATGTTGAGGAGTGGCTTCTCATCTAAATGTTAAACTACCAAAAGCAGTAATTTATAAATATTTAACTGTTTTGTCTTTATTTGGCATGGTGGCAGGCTCTGTTGTACAACAGCTCACAGACATTAAGATAGTCTGTGCAGTTACTTGAAGGAAGCCAGCCTAGGCTTACTGATTAGCAGTCAGTGTAAATTCTTTGTGACTTGCCTGAGTTCATGCAGGGAAAAAATACCTGAGGGAAAAAAAAAAAAAGCACAAGTTGCCCATCCTGGTATTTTTGCCACAAAACAATGACATTCTGCCCCTAATCAGTTTCTAATCAGCAGAAAAGGGGGGGGGGGGAACTCCCAAACAAATAATTTCTATATGAAAAAGATCTCTTGGCATGTGAAACTTTGTCAATGCCATAAATAATTGTACGCCTGTTCTTAAATGAGGCCTGCAGTGTTTGTAACTACTGAGGTCTCTGCTTCAGCTTGTTTTCAGGGAGACTGTTACAGACCTCACCCTGTGAATTCTGGGGACATAATGATGTAATTGTCTGCTGAAGTGTTATTGCAGCCAATTTATAGCCCACTTAGTGTTTTGCCTGAATTGCTTTTATGTATGTGTTGAGGCCCCTGATTTAGTCCATTATACTTATGCTCCTGTTATGCCCATAAAAACAGTTGCCACTGTTGTGGGGTACATGCATCTGAACAAGAGCTTGTGTGTGCTTCCACTTTAAAATTAATGCCAGGCTGCTTCTCCAGAAATGGTCATTTTGGAGATGAAGTGGCACCTGTGAGAAGAAATGCAGATACAGGTCCCAGCCAAGATGAGTTGCTGTGATGATTTTAATTTGTTCTGGTGTGAAGGTAGCATGTGGGTCTGTTATGGGCATTGCAGATCACTTCCACAGAAGTGAGATACACAGGGACAGGCAAGATGAGAAGAAGGAATGACTTCCTAACAACTCAAAGGAGAAACTACTGCTTCAAAGGGAAAACTACTACACCCTCTCATTAAAGAGTCTAATTTCATAATGTAATTAATGCAGCAGGACTCAAACTTCACAAGAAGGTGCTTCAGTGACTAAAGAGCACTCTCTTCTGCCAGCTGTCCTTGCTTTTCTTCCTACTGCCAGGGCCTGCCTAGGGGAGATAAGAAAATGGCAGCATAGCTGTCCCCTGGATGCAGCACTACCTGCTCTGTGCTGACAGGACTCTGAATGCATTGGTCAGTAGGTGCTGTAACCCATGTCTTACTATCATCTGGAGCAATGGGAGCATGGCAGTGCTCTCTGCAGCATTTCAGCACACCATTAGGAGCAGTTGCCTAACGTGACCATGGCAATAGCAAATGGCAGCAGTGCAGCCATTTAGAGACCTCCCTGCAGCTGTGCCACGCAGGTGAGTCAGCAGCACCTAAGGCAGGTTGTTGGCAGAGAGCATGGATGTTTTCAGTCACCCTGCCTGTCAGAAGAGTTGTGTCATTTCCACGTCACCCAAGTGCAAACTGCACGTTTGCCAGAATGATAAAAGGATGCACTGAAAATGTGTGTGTGCACACTGACCAATGGCCCTGGCTGGGACTTTGTAAATGGGGTCGCATCTGTGTGACTTGGAAACAGCAAGCACAGGACACACGAAAAACCAGAACACGGAGATACAGCGTCCATTAAAGGCCAAGATGTAAAACGTTCTTTATCCAGGAATAATAATACAGTGTTGATTGTTACCCTTTCAACATAGTGAATGGTAATGGTTTCTGTTAAATATTTTCTAAGTGCAGCTGTTGGAATGAAATGAAGGAATAATCATCATTGTGCTGTTGGGAGCTGAAGTCTACCTTCACACCTGTTAATTTGTGAAATGATTAGCAGGAGATGTTTGGCAAGGGGGAAAATCTCACCTTTTTCATCTGGTTTTGTTGCAGTCTACAAAGACTCCCTGAAAGGCACTGAGCTTGATTCCTTTTTCATTTTTCCCTTGTAGAAATTCATACTCTTGAGGACTGTTGCAAAATGTGATTGTGTTGTAGAACACTTTTCACCCCTCCCATGCAAAGCCCCTGCTCAGGGAAAGCTGCAGCATCGGGGTGGCTCTGGGCAACGCTGGCAGCCACACCTGATGACAAGGTTTACAAATCACAGCAGTAAAAACCTTGCTGGTGATCAGTGTCTCTGTCAGCTGTGGAAGTCTCCGTGTCGCAAATCTGAGCTGAGCATTACCATACAGCCCTTGGAACAAGGGGAGCACAGCTGAAATACAGAGAAATATTGGTGTCATTAACACGTTGTTTAACTGAGCCTGGAAGGTCTGGTCCATGTCAGGCATTCTGGGTGGTGGAACTGTTTTATTAAAAGGGGGAAATTGTGCAGAATTTAATGTTTGGGGGAGTTGGTGTTTGACGTAGCACAGATTACTATTTAGTCGTGTTTTGCTACTAGTTTAGTGTTGTGCCTACCGTGCTTTTCAAGTGTCTACTGTAGCAGCTTTCATTGGAGCTGTGCAGTATGGAAAGCTCTGAGTGAGGTGTCTTAGACCCTTTGGGAGCTAAAGGGAGGGAAATCTCTTTAAACAACCTTTCAAAATGATCTGAAAAGGGGGCTGGAAATGCAAGCTAGGCTTTGTATTTTTTTTTCCTCTTTTAATTTTTTTTTTTTTTTTTTTTTTTAGCTCTGCTACAATGTGCATAGAAAGCCCTGGGAGGAATTTCTAAAGCATTTCACTCAGTTTGTTTTTTCACTTAAAAACTGGCTTTTTCCCCCTTGAGCACAAGGGCAGCATTGATTTTATTTATTTATGTGTTAAAATTGTTTAATAACATAACCTATATCCTGCCCCTCTCAACCTGCTAGAGTGCCTAGCCATCTGAGTTCATTAGCAAATTAAGGACACAAATTAAACTCTATTCCATGTCCCAAGATAGACATTTTCTGTATTGTGTAGAATCTTTGGTTTCACCTAGGTGCTTTCAAAGACCTGCATACAACCAGGCATAGCATCCATTTTGCATTATACCACTGTGCTCTTGGCAATCTGTTTAACATGTTACACAGATTTAGCCTTTACTAAGATATACTGTTTATTTATTTTGAGGCTCAATTTGCATTTTCATATTTAGTTTTATATCTTAAAAAAAGGAATTTTGGTTGGTATAATACTGTTATCAAAACCAAACTTATGTGGAGAGTGTGGTCCATGAGCAATTAAGGTGCTTGTGGTTCATGATGGTATTTCCATGCTTATATTTCTTGATACTTTAGAATTCATTGTAGTGCAGAGATCTGAGAAAACTACACCAAAAAAACCCACTGCTGCTGCTTGAAGAAAGCTTTCAGGGGTGAGATGGTAGAAGGCAGGCCAAGACAAAGAGCTTGTTAGGCAACAGCCACCCACTTCTGTGGTTTGTTGGCTTTCCCTGGCACCGGGTGAGAACAAGTGAGACCTTGACCTTCAGGCCTTGGGCTCGGTGAGCGTTTCAGCCGCCTCTTGGGCGGGGTGCCACAGGCTGTGACAGCAGGGCCAGGGCTGGCTGGGCCGGGATTGTTGTGATCCCTGACTCCTCCTGGAGCCTCACCTCAGCAGTCACTTATGAAAAGCAACAAGGAAAACTGGCAGAGTTTAGCAAAATGTTATTACTTAGTGAAGGAGGACGGGTATAATGTAATGGTATTGTTTAAAGACTCAAAGCTAGCACAGCTACTTCGGGGTGACCCTTTGTGACAGCAAACACCTCCACCTCTTTCCCCCCATCCTGAACTGCCAATCACCCATTCCCCCTCATCTCGCACGGTAAGAACGACAGGGAACTTCTGCAGCAAGTTCAGAGGAGAACCACGGTGGTGATAAGAGGACTGGAGCACCTACCCTATGACAACAGGCTGAGAAAGCTGGGGCTCTTCAGGCCTGGAGAAGTTTGTGTGAAGACCTCATGGCGACCTTCCAGTATCTGAAGGGGAGCTCTAAGTGAAGCCAGACAGGGACTCTGTCAGGAACTGCAGTAGCGAGAGGACCATGAGTAATGGGTACAAACTGGAAGAGGGGAAAAATAGGTATTAGGAAAAAAGTCTTTCCAGTGAGATACTGGAACAGGTTACCCAGAGCATCTCCGGCTAGCCTAGCCCTGGAGGCGTTCAAAGCCAGTTTGGATGGGGCTCTGAGCAACCTGGCCTAGTGGAAGCCGGTGGCAGGGAGTTGTAACTAGACTGGAAGTCGTGTAGCGTCCACGCCGAGTCCTTAGCGGGCTCCGGGCCGGCGCCGCTCCCTCCCGCGCTGCGCAGCCGCTGCTGCCGCGGAGCGGCGCGCGGGCCCCGCCGCGCGGCCCCTCGCGGGCGCAGGCCCCGCCCCGCGCGCGCGCCCGCCGCGCGCCCGGCCCCGTCTCCTCCCCCAGAATGCCCCGCGCCAGGCAGCCTTTGAAAAAGCGGCGCGGCTCGTTCAAGATGGCGGAGCTGGATCAGCTGCCTGACGAGAGTGAGTAGGGACCGGCGCCCCCGCTCCCGCCGCCCCCTCGTCCCGGCGGGACACCCGCGCCGCGCCCCGCCGCCCGCCCGCCTCCTTTCTTCGCTCCCTCCCTCCCGCCGCGGGCGCTGTGCGGGGCCGGAGCCCGAGCCTCCTCCCTGGCAACCGGGCCGGCCCGGTCCCCCCCCCACCCCCCGCCGCCGCCCCTCCCGGGCGCGGCCCCGGCCCGAGCGGCGGGCGGGGAGCTCCGTCCCGGGGGTGGGACCCCCGCTGCCCTCGGGGGTGCCGGGGCTGGGCCCCCCGCCCCGCCCGGGCGGCACCTGCCGGGCAGGCGGGGCGGGAAGCGGGAGCCGGGCGGGGCGCAGTGACAGCCCGCCCTGCCCGCGGGGGTCGGGGCAGTGCGGGGGAAGGAGCGTCCTGACCCGGGGGAGGGTGAGCTGCCCGCCGCTCCGGACCTGGCTGTCGGCCATAGGGGCAGGAAGGGCTTGTGTATGCGTAGCCCGTGCCCTGCACGGTGCGAGCGGCTCCGCAGGGCTGGGGGGTCAGGGCGTGCACACACTGTGTCTAGGGGGCACTGGTGAATGCGCAGGGAACAGCTCAGAGACGTCGTGTTGTGTGTCAGCAGCAGAAACCTGGCTGTGCAGGAAGACAGAATGTAAACATGTGGTTTTGTGCCTACAGTTCTGTATGTCTGCACCTCGAGTGCTGTGTCCAGCTCTGGGCCCCTCACTGCTAGAAGGACACGGAGGTGCTGGAGAGAGTCCAGAGAAGGGGAATGGAGCTGGGGAAGGGTCTGGAGCATGAGTCTGATGAGGAGCAGCTGAGGGAGCTGTGGGTGTTTAGCCTGGAGAACAGGAGGCTCAGGAGTGACCTTACCGCACTCTACAGCTCCTGAAAGGAGAGTGTAGCCGGGTGGGGGTTGGCCTTTTCTCCCAGGCAACAAACGAGAGGGCATAATCTCAAGCTTCAGCGGGGGGAGTTTAGATTGAACGTTAGGAGGCATTTCTTCACTGAAAGGATGATTGGGCATTGGAATGGGCTGCCCAGGGAGGTGGTGGAGTCACTGTCCCTGGAGGTGTTTAAGGAGAGACTGGATGTGGCATTTTGTGCAGTGGTCTAGTTGACATGATGGTGTTTGGTTAAAAGCTGGACTCCATAGTCTCAGAAGTCTTTTTTGACCTCATTGATTCTGTGATCTCCATAGGGTTTGTGTGGATGTTGTTTTCAAAGAGTGCAAGGATTTGATAAAAACATAGTGTAGCTAAAAACCGGACTTATGTTGCTGTATGTGTGGATTCATGCACAAAGTACTTGAGTGTTACAGAAAAGGAAATTATTCAGTGTAAAATACATCTAGATGACATCTCTTACAAACTGTGAACTGCCAAGCTAAAACTAGGGCATTAACTAGTTTCAATAGGTGTGCACAGAACCAGGCAGACATTTTCTGGTGACACATTTTTGTTCATCACCACACAAGTTCATCAAGCTACCAAGTCCTTCCATATCCAAAGATTCTCAGAGAGAGGTGACTCAGAGCGGAAATCTTGCTTCTGGCTGCTCCATGTGAGTCTTTGTTACAGCTCCAACAACTGTCAGGAGAAAAGTTGGTTAATGTGCCCACATGGCCGGTGTCATTCTGTTAACTGAACAGATTTATGGAGGATCATCATAAATTATGGATAGAGCTGACATTCTCAGCTTAGCGCAGCTCAGTCAAGGATGCTGTGCTCCATTTAGAGACTGATTAATACAAGTCATGGGCCACTTGATACGACTGTAATTAATAATTAGCTGTGGTTTATTGCTTATTAAATGAACTTTCCCTTTTCACTAGAATGGGCAATGTTTAAGTTACCGTTCCTCCATTTGCCTTGCCCATTTTCCAGAGAAAGCACTGTATGTTTCAAGAAGTTAATGTAAGGATGAAAAATAACTTTTTCTTCTCTGTCACTTTTATATTGCCTGCATTGACATCAGGAAGGTTTGACAGATCTGTCACTTCACCTCTAGCAGATACCATAGTAGAGTGTGTGACTCAGTTTCCCATAGGGCTATGCTGGTGACCCTTGCCAGCTGTGTCAGTGTCACAGTCCCTGCTTGGCAGGTGAAGCAGACACTGTGTGGTTGGTTGTAAAGGCAGTAAACTTCTGCTGTGCTGACTTTGACCTTAAGGTTTGTATTTACCTAAGTTAGGTTTAAGTCAGAGGTGTTTTCCATCAGACAGGGAGCTTCATGTTTTCTGCAGCACTGCTGAACTGCTGGAATTGTGAAAGTTTCAAGGAGTGGTTGCCTTGTGCTTCCATTCTTGTGCTATCCAGTTTTGGTGATCTGGATGTTTTCAAATTACACTGCTTACTGCCACACATAGTTCTTTCATTTCCAGTCCTATACTTAAAATGAAGATGTAAACTTAGTCCTGGCTAATTTAGCACTGGCTTCATGCAGCTCTCAGTCTGCAGCTTAATATATCAAGGATTATAACAGTAAGTATTGCAAAAATTGTTTTTGGAATATTCTTATGGTATAAAAAGAAGTTCCAAAAAAAGTCAGAATAGTTCATTACTAAGAGCCTTTGAGATTTATGCATCGCCCCTGTGAATTTTCTCCAACATAGTTTATAGTAAAGTAGTAGATCATAACTGAGCTTTCAGATAAAAATAATTACCAGTAAACACAGCATACTTGGTGAAAAGAAAACTGACATTTTGCTGTATGGTAAGAACCACACTGTTTTACTTTCAGATTGGATGTCTGATGAAGTGGAATTTGTCCCAGAGTATTCTAATAGCACCTTCTTGCCCTCTGGCAGGTTCTGTAATGCAGCTGGGCAGCGACTGTTCCTTAACCCAGGAGTGAGGTGAATGTAATGCACCCAGTTGTCTCTCATGATATGTACTTGTTTTATCTGCTAAAGTTACTATTCTATTCTCTAAAGCTGCTATTCTGTCCATATAAAACAGTGAGAGGCTTCATGCTGACAGCATGAAATGGTGCCTAAGTTTACATGCATTTCTTGTAGTTTGAGGCCTTTCCTGAGCTGCTGGGGGAGAGCCATGCAGTAATTTGGGATTCAGGTGAAGAAAGAACAAATCTGTGGTAAATCCTCTAGCTTAAATAGTCCAGGATATTAAAGGTCTCAATTGCAGAATAATACTTTGATTTATATTTTGAAGACAAAAAAATTGTTTCTGCAGGCTGTTGGGTTGGTGCCCAATGAGTGACTAATTTTAGTCAATGCCTTTTTTTTCCTTCTTATCTCCTGGTAACTTTGCAGTGGAGGTAAATGGTGGGCAGCCTTGGTGCTGCAGACCAGATGGCTTTTTCTCTGTGTCTCAGAAGAAGGAATCAGTGCATTGTATTGGAGCATACATAATGCTGCCCTGTCTCCTGCTACTGGTAATAGCAATCTGATCTGTGGGCTGCGTGGTTCTAAAGCTTGTGCAGTGAAGCTGAGGGGAGGCTCTGATGTGAAATGAACTTTTTGCTGAGGTGAGGCTCTGCTAAAACAGGCAGCACGTGCAGATGTGACTAAAGATTGTCCTGGTCCCGCTGGAGGCAGAGCTCTGCCGAGAGCAGCACAGGCAAAGCCACCTCTTGCTGCGTCCTTTGGCACAAGCTGGTCTGAGGGAGGAGGATGCTGCCACCTGCTCTGTAAAAGGGAGGAGCAGGTGCCATTTCTAACAAGAGGCATCGGGGGCACGGGGCTGTGCCAGCAGCAAAGCACCAGAGTGCAGCGTTCCTGTGGGCAAACTCCAGCCAGCTGCGGGAGAATCCGAGAAAGAAGGCAGACTCCAGGGGTGGTGGGGGTCAGGGTTCAACTTTTACAAATTCTGAAGTCAGTGTTTTGCTAAATACCATGTCTTGGTAGGCATGGTTGGTGCTGTTCATAGGGGCTTGTGTTTTATGACAGGCAGAAGGGAAGTGGGATAAGGGTTTTTCTGCATTGGGGGGGAGGCTGCAGCATAAGGGCAGCACTTCAAGCAGAAATTGTTGACTTTACCCCCAGCACGACCTTTGCTGTGGTTCATGGGTCCGCTGCTCTGCTGCTTTCCTAGACAGCTGCAGGAGGTTGTGGCACACCTCTGGCACTTCCATTTTTCAGCCCCAAGGGGCTGTGAGTCCAGCACTGCTGTGGCCTGGATGTTTGAGGCAAAAAAAAACCCAGCAGAACTGTGTGAGATTGCAGTATCTGGGAGAAGGCTCAAGGTTAGCTTTGTGGCTGCTGTACAGTACTCACAACTAATAGTTTTTGAGATTATTTGTGCTGCCTACCTTTAAAATTGTATGTTACCATGGTATCAATGTATTGTCCATTATGAGAATGCAATTTCAAAAAGAGGGCTTTGTTATTGTGGTTACTGTGGTTTTTGTCTACAGAAGTCCTGTAGAAGGGTTCACATGGCTGGAAAACCTACTTCCATCCAGTAGTTAAAGTAGGATTTGGAAATATACATATGTCAATTTATTGGTAGGCTCATAACATGAGGAAAATACTGACTCGTGCTTGAAGTGAAAAGCTAGTGTTTATTTATTTATTTATTTATTTATTTATTTATCGCTTCAATGAGCCCAAGGTTTGGGGGAAGCTTTAAAAACTCCCCAAAGTGATTTCTCCCTCTGATGTGTATTTTTTACTTTCAGAGTTTTTCTGAATAAGCTTTCCTTGCAGTGGCCAATTGTTTGAGATGCTTCCTCTGCTGAAACAACTTATGCCATGCTTGTGTAGATGAATGCTCTCTTGGAGGATTAATGACTCAGTCTATAATAAAGGCTCATGTTTTTCCCTTCTTCTCCAGGAGATTCTTCTGTCACACCATTTTTAGTGCCAGCAATGCAGATTAATTACATAGGTTTTTGAGGTA